ATGGTTCAAGCGTTTCAAAAATCAATAAATTTTCATAATAGCCACAAAACCAGATCAAAAACACAAAAAAAAATATATAAAAAATCATTATTTTAACACGGCGCACGAACTTTTTCCTCAACCTAATCATTTGTTGTTTTTTTTATCTACACTAGGCCTACTACTGTGCTAGAAGCCACCCTTTTGTCTCCTATAATTTACCAGATATAACTCGTGCATTTTCGGCGTTGATTGGTCTTTGGCGCCGTCTACTGAGAGAAAACGGATTTTTTTCCAGTATAATTAGTTTTCAACAGTAATATTGCTTTTTCATTTTATAGGCCGCATCTTTCTCTGCAATCTCACATCATTTGATTCTAGACAGAGAGAAAATTCCAGTTAGAAAAAAACTGATCTTTGCTCTATTACTTACTTTGCAAGTTATGTCAGGTGAGATTTCAAAGCGTAATGTAGAGGTAAAGAAAAAATTGGAAATAATTATTATATAAATTCTATTATATTTTTGAAAATCGAGGAAAAAGAATTGAGGAAAATTTCGTCCACAAAACGTCCGGTGGGATTTTCGATTTTGTTTTTTCGATATCTCGATAAATTATACTCCAATAAAGATCAAATATTAATAATTTTTGAAGCTCATGAGGTTTGATGTTTGGTAAAAGAAATGAAACTGAAATATTGCATTATTCAGGAGAAATTTGAAAGTTACGTCCGCGAAGATTTTTAAGAAAGAAATGTCCGATGAGATTTCTACATGCGTGTCGTTTTTCGATGTGGTTTTGCGTATCTCGCATTCGACTTTGGTTTTCAATAAAAGTGTCCCTAAGCCGAGGAAAACGAATTTTAGCTGAAAAACCAAGGTTTTCTTGGAGACCCTGTAGTCGGACGTAGGAACTATTCCGCATCTTTGCACATGCACTACTGATGTAGAACATTGGGACGAACGTTTCCATGTAATTTGCAATCAAGTTGGATTTTAGCGAAATTTAGCGGACACATTGTACTGGGCATATCTCTCGGGATAAGCGTTCAGTTTGGAAAACCATTTTCTCTCACATAGTGTGTCCAACCAGAGAAAGATTTTCTCTTACATAATGCTCGACGTGGCTAGATTCAATCTGTATCATTTTTATATTTATCACCAGTCGATTTAATGAAGAAGTTTATTCTCCCAAACCCTAAATGTTTTTCGATAGCTGTTGGTCATGAATTTTCCGATGAACGAAGACAGTTGTAATAAAAAATTTTATGCTATCGGATAAAGCACGTCAGATAGTATATCGAACTGTATTGAGACTCAAAAAAGTACACTTTCGATCTTTCGCTAAATGTCCGCCTGGGTGCCCACCTAGCGAAGTAAAATATTCGAAAACTGATATGTACTTTTTTTAGAACCAATAAGACGAGTCTAATGATATAAAATTATTGGATTCATTTCATATCTAAAAAGACTTACAGCTTTTGACAGATACGGAAGCGGAATTTTCAACGTTGGTAACAAACCAAAACTGTTTAGGTGAAATAATATTTGAACAGCATCGAAGAGATATTTTTTAGATTCAGTTTTCCACGTAGAACAAGAATTAAAGCTTTCAAGGTTCCCAAAACGTTATATTAAAGATGTACGCTCATTTTTAAAAAATAAGCCGTTTCTTCCAGTTTTGAAGATTTCAGTTTTTCAAAATTCTCGACCACAAAAACTTTTTCGAAAGTCTAAAACAAACATACTCCGACTCAGCTAAGCGAGCTCTATCGAACCATATATAAATATCGCAGAAATAAAATGCACTGGAGTTCTAAATTTCCGGCACCTTATATTACACCAGATAATCACAGAAAGTGAATATTAGTTTCGCTCTAGTATCTGTTTAAAATGTATAAAAAGTTTAAACAAGGCTTTTGTACTCTTAGGACAAATTTCGGACACGTAGGAGTCACTTCGGATCTACCCGGATCCATGGGGGTCTTTTTGGATCCATGCGGAAACCCTGATCCGCTTTTCCTCCCTTGTATCTATCCCTGTAAAAAGCTAATATATTGCGATGTTAAATTTTTGCATTATAACATGGTTTTCCAAAGATTCGCTAGAAAATCATTTGTACTTATAAACATATAGGCTAAACTGTTCTCTATCGATTGTTGAAAATCGTAAGTCACTGTCTTTTACTGTCTCTAAGTTATGAACAAAACAACTACCTGTTTTATTTTGTGGGATAGATAACACAAATATTCAGATATAATATGTCTATATACCATTGTATGCAAATTGAAAAATTTTTTTGATCAAAGTTAAGCGTGGGAAAAGTATACAATATATATTTCAATTCAAAATAGGAAAAAAAATACTGTGTTAATCACGTTTTTGCAGAGGGTAAACTATTTTTCTGCAAAGTTTTTTCTTCTTTAATGAAGAAACCATAATAATTCTACTTACATTCGTATTTTTTTTGCGTTCTGTCCAAAATTTTTTATTTGTATTGAACCGATTGCATATATGAAGAAAAAAAAGATGACGGAAGGATACATTGTGTGTTTTTGTTTTGATGGCTCTTTTTTATTCGGATTCTCATGTCATTATTAACCAAAAAACTCATTCTATTTTTCGAATTTATAACCAAAAAGCCAAGAAAAAATTTAATTTTTGATCAAAATTATTCGGAATAGCAACATGTGTAAACAATTTCTTCTAATTCTTCTTCTCATCTTTGTAAATTGGTGTCGTCCTCAGATTGTGAGGTGAGATACTTTATCCTTAAATAATAAATCGCTAAATTAATTTTTCTTCTACTTTAAAGTATATCTGTGAAACGTATCCCACAAACAACAGAGACAAAAAAATATTTATCAGTTAACTCAAAAACGGCTTATTCGAATTTAACAAATGTATATGATGTAAGTTTATTCTATCGCAAGCTGCTTGTGAGACACAACTATCTTCTTCTTCTTCTTCTTAGTACTATTGGGTAGGTGACATATCAATAGGTACGCCCGCTCAAGCATTTATAATCGATTTTGATACAGGATCCTCAGACCTGTGGGTCCCGTCGAGTAGCTGTACATCAGGATGTGGTATGTCTGGTGATTGACTAACAACTTTTTTTTACGTATTTTCATCTTACGAACTTATTGTGGTGTTACATTTTTTACAAGTAGTTGTTCTGCTTCGTAGCAATATTCCACGCTTCTGAAGCAACAACTTGACTTGACTTCGATTTAACGTTTGTTTTTTTGAACTAGGCTACAAAAACAAATTTTATAGTTCTCATTCATCAACTTATCGTGCAAATGGCTCGAGTTTTTCTATTCATTACGAAGATGGTTCGCGTGCCACGGGACACTGGAGCTTGGATACAGTATCGGTAAGACTGGAAAAATTTTTTTTTATATAAAAGCAAATTGCATTGCGCTTTAGATCGCTGGTTTATCAGTAACAGGCCAGGGATTTGCTGAAGCAACCTACTTGTCAGGCTTTGATTCATCACTGAACGATGGATTGTTGGGAATGGCTTATCCATCAGTAGCTACAGGAGGCGAACAACCTTTCTTTTACAACCTCTGGAGTCAAAGCCAAATTTCGTCGCCAGTATTCTCTTTTTACTTTAATCCGTTAGACGCAAGCTCGCCTGGTGGAGAGTTAATTCTCGGCGGAGTTGATACAACAAAATATCAAGGTGCTATTACTTATGTATCTGTAAATATTCAAGGTTATTGGGAATTTACCATGACTAGGTATTGCTTTTTTTCACCGAAGTACGTTGAATATATATTGTCTATCGTAGTGTTGTCATAAACGGCCAAACATATTCATCAGGGCGAAGTGCAATCGCAGATACGGGCACTTCACTTATTTTGGGCCCGACATCAGAAATATCAGCGATCAATACAGCAATCGGAGGTACTGCTGCTGGTGGTGGATATGTGAGTAATGAGAAATCTTATTTATAATTCTTGTTATGACTTTCTTTTTTATTAGTATACCCTCGATTGTAACAAAAGTAAAGCGCGGTTCCCCAATATCACCTTTAATATTGGTGGACAATCCTTCTCCCTCAGTGTTACTCAATACACCAATATTGATACATCAAGTAGTCAGACCATTTGTTACAGTTCACTGGTTGCCGCTAATGTGTACGATCGATCAGGAAATCTGTTTTGGGTTTTGGGTGATACATTTTTGATGAGATTTTATTCCGTTTACAATATTAACACAAATCAAGTGGGTTTCGCAAAGTCTACATCATATGATAGTGTTGATTCTGCTTATTCCACTTTATTCAATAGTGTTAGTTCTCTGAAAGGCGGCTATTTCAAACTTCGGACATTATTTTTACTTTTTTGCATTCAGATAACATTCTTGTCTTGACAACTTTCACATTTGAACATTTATTTTGATTTAATTAACACACATACTCCTGAAGCTAACATTAAATTGCCTATAAAGTGTGTTGGAAACTTAATGTCTCTGATACCATTTTTTCAAAAAACTAAATATGGTAAGGAGTGTACTGAAACACATTATATTGAGACGTGTTATGTACCGGTACACCGCTGTTCTGAAGACAACGTGTATCAGCCTATGCTGTCGCTAGAACTTTTCTGTAAGTTTAAGAAAAAGATAATGCTGGTAAATCAATATTGAACAATTTTTTGATTTTTTAAAAGGCTTTTCAACTTTCGCCAAGATGAAGTATTTTTTCCCACAAAACCTCGCCTGATGCGTCTCCACATGCTCAACATTTTTTTGCTGAGAAACTAAGGTCTGCTTCCTCCGTTAATCGTATTCTTCAAGATTAACGATTTTATTGAATTTAATTTTATATTCCAAAAACGGGGAGCGTTTGTTTTTAAAACCCGTGGGACAGACAAAATCTATGAAACTTCATGTACCCTATCCAGTTTCGGCAAAAAAATCAAACCAAAAATTTAAGTTTTAAATTTTTATAAAAAATGAATTTTTACGTTAAAATTTTAAAAATTCACAACTCTAGAAGCACGAGTCGTATAAATCTAGAAACTTCAGGATTTATGTAACTTGATATTCACTACAAACTAGTCAAATATCAGCAAATTCTTGGGTACTAGGCATTCGCTTAAAACTTAATTCACTCAAAAGTATATAAAAAAAATATTAAGATATTTTTAGATAAAATATTACTTAGAAATGAAAATTATACTTTATTCGATTATTTTAGCAATTTCTAGCAAAAGAAAACACTTCTCTGATTATGCAGCCTTACGAAAATGAAAATTCTTTCAGGTTTATTCATTTTTGTTTGTTCTGTTCGCATACTGGCAAATTTCAATTTCCAATCTAGAATTTCAGTTTCATAATGTTCTCTTTCACATTTATGTTGAAAACCTCTTGTCGTTAAAAATGTCTCATCAGCGTTTGATTCTCGTAATAAAAGTGTTAATTTTTCAAACATTTGATACGTTGTTGTTTTTTATGTATATTTACTACGTATTTCAGACGGTTGCTGGAGATAAATAATGAAATTAAACTTAACAGGTAATAACCATCGACCATCAACATATTTTGTGCCAACTATGTAAGATTACTGTCCAAAATAAAATATTTCTTTTTAAAATAAATGTTGAATAATAATCATCATAATGTTTATTTAATTCATGTAATTCTTGAAGAACACGTATTAATGCTGTAATTCTTGAATCTTGTTGTTGCCATAGAAACCTTTTGTTCTTCTTCAATTTTAGCTTTTTTAGTACAATAGGTGGATTGTGCAATACTTTTGCTTCATGGCGTACTGATCAACATATTTGTCCACACGTAGTTTGATCACGTTCATCAATTGATAGACAAGATTCTGATTCAAATAAACTAATCTTAGCATTTTTTTTATGCGTCAGGTTTACATAATAGTAACCCTTTGTTTTCTCACATAAATCAATTAATTGCTTGGATGATGATTATACAGGGTGATCTAAAAAAAACTTCCCCCCTGTGTATTTATTGACTTTCTTGTGTACAGATATAATGGAACTTTTTACCATTAGTTTATTCGAATAGAGCAAAGATTTCTGGACGAAATGAGACGTCTCCGAGTTCTCGAAGAGCTTTTCTCATGAAACAGCATTCAATTTATGGAAGGTCCCATACCACCAAAATCGGGACAATTAATGGGCAAACAAGAAAAGTATGCTCTTGGGACTTTCCGTAAATTCAATGCTGTTTCATGGCAAAAGTTGTTCGAGAGCTGGGAGACGTCTCATTTTGTCCAGAAATCTTTGCTCTCTTTGAATAAACTAATGATAAAAGTTCAATTATATTTGTACACAAGAAAGTCAATAAATACACAGGGGGTAAGTTTTTTTGATCACCCTGTAGAAAACAAGCAGAATCAAATATTATATCTTGCTGAATGAATTTATCTAATATTTCGCTTAACGATATTGTATTACATCTATCATCTCCATCTGATCCCACTACCCACCAATAGCAGTAATTGTTAAATCCAATAATGATTAACAATTATCTGTATCGCTCTCAACAAATGTATTTTGCATTAAACCACTTATATCTAGAAGTTGGCTTTTTACGCCATGTTGCGAGAGAATTTGTCCTCTATTTTTACTTTTAGGAAGAAGATAACAATCGTCTATTGATAACTTTTTATGCTGAAAAGAATCTGACACTCGCCAAATTCTCTGGTCTTTATGTACAGTGAAATTTTGGTTGAGTATAATCTGACTGTCAAGCCTGGAACGACACAAAACGAACGGGACTTTTTATTCATTGCGTTGACAATTGGAAGACAAACGTTCTATTTTGGAATGAAATGTACCATCTGTCGCACTTCGAACTCTTATAACATTCTCAAAAAAAGTGCAGTGAGCGATGAGAAATAGGCGAAAGGGCTAAGTCTGCCCCTTGTACCGGACTGATTGAACGAACAACGTAGGGTGTGGGCAAAGATCGATTCTTACATAACTCGATACGAGCTACAGATCTAGCATAACGAAATCATGCCAGCTTCTTGGTCATGGAAAAGTGGGCCGACCTGCGTGAAAGTACCGTATCCATTTGTACTTGACAATTGTATAAACAGCCTGCTCAAAGATTCTTCTTTTAATTTCGTTCGATTAGAACAAGGACGGGGGCTTATAAAGGTAAATATTTTCTCTTGATATTTCTAAAACAAGAGTTACATATTCAAAATCAGCGTGAAATTCTGCGTCGAATGAGGTATATGATACATTGGAAAAACCATTTTCAACTTTTCGGAAAATTTGTAGCCCCTCACATTTGGAACACAAAAAAACGTTTTTATTCAGAATTTTTCTAAAGATACTTTATTCGAAGCAGAATTTGATGCTGATCGTGAATATCAGGTCAAAACTGGAAAATAGTTAAGTTTTGAGCGACAAAATCGATTTTACTGACAGATGGCGTGAGCGACTTGGTTCATTAAAAACAGGTCTTTTTTTCCCTTGGATTTGATATGGAAACCTCCAAAACCACCTAGATACACTCAAAAATGTCCCAGCTTTCCGATACGGAACAGAAATCCGCTTCAAACTAGTGTTTTCGGGTCTATAATATTCTTAATAATATTCTTCCCTAAAGAACCAAACTCGAACTTAAAAGATGAGCTTTTTCGGAAAGCATTCGGAAAAATATCTCAAGAACGACGAACTAAGCAATAAATTTGAGTCCAGTTATCGTATTTATCAAGCAAACGCTATATTATCAAATCTGATGGATTCTGGGTTACTCTTTCAACTAAAAAAAAGCTTTTCAAAGGTTTCTGTCTACATGAGAAACAAGAGAAGTGTTGAAAGTTAAACAAAAATAGATGTACGATAGTAATGTTACCTTTCTTCCTCCGAAAATAATAGAGTTTTCTCAGGTTTTACAACAGCTAGAGAATGCAGTTTTTACCAGAAGCCCACATTTTTAATGCTAAATCGACATTTTCCCGACTCGCCTCTTCTGCCACCGACACTTCGGAGGCGCACATCGCGGTTACAGTGATTAGATATCAAATTCAACAAAATAGTGGAAGAGACTGTGTTTTGCAAGGTCTCGGAAGAGTCTGTAGTGCCGAAAGTCAGATAAAGAGAACAGAGGCGCAACTTTTTTAGAAAACGTCCATGAGTACAAGTTTTTCGAACATCAAATTAGGTAAAGTAGAAAAGAGCAACAAAAACTGTAAGACAAATTAACATCACATCAATTAATCGGTTGGTTTCATTGCTCAGAGTTCGATTGAGACCAGTTGAGAACGGACAAGGTCACAGTGAAGAAAACTCATGTGATCGAGTTGACTCAACTGGACTAAGAGCGATTATCTGAGTAAAACCGACAGTATACATCTAGATACACGTTTTTCTTTTACCTACTTGATCTTAAAATAGCCGTAGCTCTTTAGTATAAGTGTCCGCTCAATAAAATTGATAAATTCGAATCGAGCACAAACTCCTGCATAAAGCTGTTGATTTTGAGTGTCTTAATGAAACACACCTTACTATAAGGAAAAAAGTGAAAACAACTTTCTACGTAGAAAGCCCTTAAATGACTGAATCTTTTACCTCTTTATTTGATCAACTAATCTATGTCTATTGTGTTGTGAAACACATTGTATAATAATAAATGAATTCGCTATGTTTTGAAAGTTCAACAATAAATTTATTATTTTCCTGAGACATTCAAAATAAGAAAACTGCCTTCATAACACTTCCGATGTCGTATGAGGCACGAAAAGATTAGGCGGCCAATAATTTCATTCTCCAACCAGACCATAATTTCATTCTTGTCTGACTGTGAATCAAGAAGAAAAATGTCTTTTTATGGAAGCAATGGATAGATCTGTCGCACATTCAAAGAATATGATAGGTGAAAACAAGATAAAAGTTTTGGTTATTCTAGCAATCTTACGAGAGGATGTCTGAAAAGGAAATTTCTAGCTCCATTTCTGATGCCTTAACTAACTGGTCCCAGCATTAATAATTAACAATGTCGCCAATAAAGTGAGTAAATCACACAGGACTACCAAAAAATCTCGTGGGAGTCTTTCTTTTCGAAGCGAAATCGAAGAGCATCCAATAGTAAAATAATTCATTTCTGACTATTTTCAGTGGAAAGTATCAAATACATAACACAGTTAGAATCGATCCAAACTACTTCACAGCATAAAAGATGGGCTTTCGAAGGATGAAAAGTGTGAATCTCCACTAACTTCCAGTGGAAAGTTATTCAAGAAATAGGAAAGTGCATTCTGTTTTTAAATGAATATTGATAACATCATGCATCGGTTTAACAAACAAATTGTTTGCCCTTCAAAGAGCAAAAATTATTACATGACTGAAAAACACTTGACGCTTCTAACCGTTCTTTTCAACAATAACGACCGTCGTTAGCACTTCTCAAAATAAATTTCATTCTATGCAGAAATCGGTAGAATTCTTTTTCTATAAATCATGCTTAATGGCTTAATCCATCGAAAAATTCTCTTTTTATTCAAAAGAATGTAAAATCCTTTTAAAAAACTTACGAAAGAAAACATGATGTTTTGTTACAGTACGGCTACTAAATTGAAAGTGTAATTTATTTGATTTTACGTCGAATTACAGTCGAGAATTCATAGATTGTTTTAAATATACAGTCGTTGGCGGTTCAAGCTTAGGTAATGATGAAGATATTACATACTCACCTAGTTTTCGACCACTATTTTTAAAATAAGACTGGGAAAACTAGCTTGAATATTTATGCTAATCTAGATGAGAATAAAATTCGATGAAAATTTCGTGAGGATTCTGTGTTTTCAACCGAAAATAGATTTTTGACACAGGAAAGAATATAACAAATACTTTTATCCAACAAATAACTAGAAAATGAAAGAACAAAGGAGTAACTATTTACTTGTGTGTAATGTAACAAAAATCAACAGCAACTTGTGACCACAAAAACTAAAAGAAAATAGAAGTGGTAAAGATCGTATGATAATAGTAAAAGCGCTTTGGCAGACATAATACTTAGAAAGTTCTAAAATTTCTAGTTTATCCGCAAGAAGGCATCTCGATTTATCAGAGTTTTAGCTGTTTATGACTCGCGGATAAACACACTGATAAAATGAGGAAGTTTTTAACGCTAGTTGGTCTTTAAACTCTCAAGAGGAGAGCCGAGATCTACATGAAAGAGCTGTTAAGATTCTTCTGTTATACGTTGAGCGTTCATTAGTCAAAGATCATGGGGAAACTCCATCTGCCGCAAGTTCGTTTCTGAAGACGAAACGTATCCAACTATTACCTCGCTTTTTCAGCCAAACCCACTGGGTTATAGGTAATCGACCACGCTAATTCCGGCGATGAACATGAAAGCTTCCACTAGACCTTCAAAGATCCAATTTTCGGGAAAACCAGTTTTTCATAAACTCTAAAAACCAACCAAAACATCTCTCAACGAAGCATAATTGCAGTGTACACATTTCTGATTAAAATGAGACCTCTCCCAGCTCTATGTGACCTTTCTTTGCAAAGTTATAGAATTTACAAGAGAAACCCTAAATGTTAATTGTCAGCTCAAAGCTAGATAAATAAGAAAAAACTAATTTAGGGCTGCTTTTGTAATTCTATAACTTTACAAAGAAAGGTTATGTAGAGCTGGGAGAGGGGAAAGCGAGGTAACAGTTGGATATGTTTCCTCGTGAGCTCGAAATGCGAACAACCCAATCTCTAACATATAAACGAAAAGAACTTACAAACCTATATATCAGAACATCTTAATAATACTAATGAGTGAGCAAGTCCTAAACATTATTTGACAGGTTGATACTTTAATTCCGTATTTTTATTAAAACATATTTAAAAATATTTAACAAAACAAACGTTTCGACCTTCGACGTTTCGACTTTTATTGAGATCTTCTGCAGTGTACGTAAGAAAATGTATATAAAAAATAGTTAATATCCTGTTACATATTTCGCTGTCACGGCAGCTTTAAAATTTTAGTATGACTGCTTAGACCTTTTCTTTATTGTTAATCGTCTAATTTTCTTTTCGTTTTCTTTTGACGATTTATTGCGTGAGAAATGCCCAGGCCGGTAGCCCGCTTGTACAAAAGTGTAGATAAAATGAAAATTCTATAAAAAAGTATTAAAATGTTGTGAAAAGAAAATCGGTATATCGGTTACTATAACAAATATAAATAAAGGAGTATGTTGCTCGCGCTCGTTAGACACAAATATATTTTTAGACTATAACTCTAATAGTCTGCACACATTGATTTTTATAAGATTCAACCGCACGCGAAAAGAATTTGTTGCAAATTTACGGTCATGCATCAGATATAAGTTGACAATAAAAATAACAAATTCATTGGTTACATTAACTCGTTTTATGAAAGATGAAGCTACGTAGTTTA